CTAGTCTGGAATAAGCAAGACTTCAAACACAGTTCAGACTGATTTGGCTGAAATCCGACCAAAGTCACACACTCAGATTAGAAACAACAAACTTGACTCTTCAAGAGCTGTATGAATACCAGAAGCTTTCTTCTCTCAAATTCAAGTTCAGTTCTAGAATAATAATAATTCTTTCACTTCTGAGTGTGATAAARCTGATAGTTTCATATCACTGTGTAATATGAAAGCAGCTTAGTAGCTCAAGTTCCATTGTAAGYTCACAGGAGAATATATCACACCATCACCACTAAACACTTAACAGACCTGCAGGTACACAGATGTAAAATTAACCACACTCACAAAATATATTCCTGAGTGCAGCGAGAGGAACCATTCAGAACGAGCGAATTTTCCACCGTGCCTTGGTTGTTTTATGGATAAAAGCAGAATTTCTGGTTCAYGACACAACAAAACTCATAACAGCCGGACGTGAACACGCAAGAATAGCAGGGCTTGACCCTGTGCTACCACAGCAAGTTTATCACAGACATAAAGGATTGTGATCACATTGTGGATTTCCCAGCATAGGACGTGGTCTCCTCTGTGTGAGCAGCAAATCACTCATCCAGTGCTCAACTTGAAATATGGTTTTAGTATGGATGCTTTTGTGGTTTTTAAAATAAAATAAACATATTAAGTTACTCAGACAGCAATGCCACGCTAATTCTTTGACACCAAAATAAGGCTCAACTATTGGTGTGAAAGAGTTAAAAGAAAGGATCAGAAAATTTTTAAATAGCCAGAATGCTTTTTGATTATCTGTTTGCACTTTGGATCAAAACCCAGTCAAAAACTAACAGAACTGATGTATAAGTTGGGGCTTAGCAGTTAAAATGTGTGTTGGATATCCAATTAACAGAACAACATATGTCAGATAATGAATACAACTGCCAATAAAAAAGTAATGAAAGAACTGCTGAACTGCAAAACATGTATTCTGAGAAAAAAATTTACCCAGTGTTTTCAACTTGAAATAAATGGATACTGCTTAATGAGAACCACCCTGTAAAATATCATAATCACTTCTGGCCTTTCCTGCAGGCCAGCACTTCCATCTCCCTAAAAAAAAACRCTCTTCACCTGGCACATGGCACTGAAAAGGCAAATCTCTGAGCAAGAATGGTTTGTAGCCAGCAGATAACAATTGAAGGAAAGGAGTCTCTCATTTTCTGTTCCACCCCTCCTCRCAGAACCAAAGGCTTGGGTACAATCCTCACATCCCTGACAGATAAGATTAGSTAATGACAAGCTTTGGATTCATCCAGTAAATCCAGCAAAGAATGTACAAGCAAACGTACAGAAAGAAAGGCTGCTGTCAGCAAATCTGAAAGCTTCAAGTTCTTTCAGATCAGAACTTGCAGAAAATCAATTTCTGCATGAATTTTTATTTTTCTTTTAAAACAACTCTGCAGTCAGATCGAGTCAAGCTTACCATCTGCTGCAGAGAGAAATACAGCCAYGCTCAGGATTACATTATCAAACTTCTTTGTAAAGTTTACACGCAAGCTGTTCCTGTCAGAATTGAAGTCATTGTGATAATGCATCTTAATATTYGGTCAGGCTTTAAATAAAGACTGACAAAAGTCCACATATGGATGACAAGCTGTTCTACAGTAAATATTTTTGTATTTATTGAGAAGGGGCTTATGGCAGTTTAGGACATATTCCATCAGGCATTTTGGTCTGAACTCCTTACTCACTAATAAAACCAAGATAAAATCCCTGTTCAAAACTCCTCACCAAAATTTAGTTTTTAATTTCAGTTGATGCTAGTCCTATTCCTATTTAGTTATGCTTTTAYAACATTATTGCTTGAAAACTTTTCCCAGCTGGCGGGTGTTGTAGAATGGAAGACATTTAGTTCCCTGTATTTTAAGCAAGGCTTAATTCCCAACTGGCACTGGATATAACTAGAAACAGAAAAAGCAAATACAAGGTAATTTTACCATTATAGCTGATCCTCTAAAGCACAGCAAAAATTCTACCACTTTTTTTGTGTTAATAAACTTGTTAAAACTCATTTCCAATRTTCCTGCAAGTGAGGGGATACAGCATTAAAATCCTTCAAAAACTCCTTTTCCAAATACACCAGTTAGAAACATAACTCACAGAAAAGTAAAGGCAAAAGCAAACATTGTGATAAGAAAGGATTAAATTGTTTTTCCCATTTCAATTCCATTTTGAGAAGTTACAAGGCACATGCTGCAATTATTATTGCAATTAACACACTTAACTCTTCGCTCCAAGTTCATTACACATTATTGCTTTGTTACAGCAACTATGGAAGTTACTCAATACACAAATAGTTTTTAAAACACCTGCATGAAACAGACACATTATGTGCAGTCACAGACAAGTGTGCCCCATGTGAAATAAATCTAAATGCAAATAAATAACCTTACCCTGATGTTGGATCAACTGCTATGGCCTTGGGGTTGTTAAGGTCCAGCTCGATGAGGGTCACACACACTGAGCCGTTCTGGCTGCAAACAAAGATCCTGTCACTGATGTGATCCACAAAGTAAAAATTCCCCGTGATCCAGTCGATTGCTATTTGCTGTACATCTGCCAAAAAAAAAAAAAAAAAAAAAAAAAAAGGAAAGAAAAAGAAGCTCAGGAGTGCAGTTTTGATCCAGAGACTGCTGGCTGCTCTGCCAGCAGATGCTCCACACACTTAAAAAGCTCCAGCTGCTTTGCGTCTATTATATGGTCTCTAATAAGGAATCCAATTCTCAACACACWAATAGTGGTTGGAGAGAATTTTTCCTTTCTAAGTACAGACATCCGATTGCAAACTCAATAGTGTAAAAGATACRCATTTGTCTGGAGCTCTCTTAAATATTTTTAAGTCTGTCATTGTGGTGTTCGGTTTTTGTTTTTTTTTCTTTTTTTTGTTTTTATATCCTCAGAAGTATCATCACTGAATGATGGTGCACCTGTGAAGAAGGGGCTGAAACACTGATGGTACCAGACTGCTGGGGGAAGGCAGCTCTAAAACCACTCCAATTGTGAATTTAGTGTTCTAGGATCTCTGTTACACCATGGCAATAGGACACTGGTAAAGGTTAAATGCATTTGTTGGCAATGTTTGAAGAGGACTAAAAGTAGACCATAAATACTTCACGGAAATTAAAATATATATATATATATATATATATATATACATGTCTAAAACCAGTGTATTTATGCATTCATTTTCATTTAAAATACTTTTTTCTTATAGTTCTGAGGTATCTGAAGGCTGCCAGATTTCTGATTGCCACAAGAAGTAGCATTGCAGTACCTTTCTGTGTGATGTTTACACAGAGACATTAATTAACAACCAAGTTTTCCTTCTCAGGACACTGTGGCAGCTTCACAGCCCCCAAACACAACTGCTCAGTCAGTTCCTTTCCTTGTGGGACACTGGAACCACTTTCTGTAAATGCTTTAAAAATCCTGCATTTTCCTTATAAGTTATCTGACCCGTCCATACACAAAGTTATTGTTACAGTAAGCAAAAGTATAAAGAAGTTGAAAAGAATATAACTTTATCAATTTCATTTAACTAAGATTTCTTTTCTTTTTCTTCTTGTTGACGTTTTTGTATTGATTTCACTCTGTATAACAGAATTAGTTATCCTTAAATTAACAATAAGTCAATTACTAGAAAAGTATTTCCGGTTAAATGTTTTCAATGTTCAGTATTAATGATTTTTTTTTTTTTTTAATAACAGTGGTTTCAAAATGATGCTAACATAAGCTGAGATTCTGCCACGATGAGAGAAGCCAAATGTGATAAAATAAAATCTCACATAGCAGCTTTTTTTAATATTATTTTATTTTCATTTTCCTATATGTGTATCATCCTTCAGGTTTTTAGGATTTTTAGGATTGTTCTCCACAATCCAACACAAAACTGTTTCACATCCATGCTGCACTGGAGAAAGAGAAGTCAACTTGATTGAGCAAAAATTGTAGTAATTAAGTTTTTGAGGACAACTCAAGGCTTATGAGACTTTTAATTGCTTAAAMCAGACAGGGAGAGTAATTTGCTGTCCTTGACAGTGCAGGTGACTCAAACAGGATTTACTCAATGAAACCCCAGGAGCGCTGATTGTATCCCAGCTCAGCCACCMCATTACACAGGTCACCCCTGGCTTTTGTCTCTCCCATTCCTGCCCTTCCACTACTCATTTCCCTTTTAATTCAAAGTGAATATTCTGCCTGATAGGTCCTATTACAAAGATCTGCTGAGSCAGAAGAAAGAAATGCTCCATTTATCCCAATATCCAAACTCCAGAGGAGGCCAATGTCAGATGCACTGAGATAAGTCAGCACCAATATATTTTTGACAACAGCAAGGAAACACTTTCTTTTATTTTCCCTCCCTTTTCAAAGCAAAATATAGGGCATGCTTTTAAAAATACCACAAGAAAACTCTGTAGCTCTAGAAATTAGCAACAGTTAAAGCATTTTCAATGTACCTGCTTAACATTTTCTGAAGTTGGATTCATGGAATGAAAAAATTAGGGTGTATTGATTCAGGGAGGGAATCTCAATGAAAATTACAGATAAGCTTCCATGTAATAGAGTTATTCCAGAAAATATCATCTACACAGGACAAAAGGTACAAAAGGGATCCAATTTCAAACATTTGTAGAAATAAAACTAATAATTAAATCCCTGCAATGAGAACCCTGGAAAATTGCTGCACACTGGGAAGTGCATGAAAAGGAAAAAGGTTAGGCAGCCTGGTGGAGGAGGGTAAGATTTTCTTGTTATTGCATGAAAATCATACCTATTTTTAGATAAATGTGAGATATACGTGAAAGGCACATCACACACAGGTTATTGGATCTGTTAACATCACGGTGCTTACTGTTATAAAATGTTTGCTCTGTTCTCTCCTTAGGTTTTTGTTAACATATCACAAGAAATTGCACCAAACAGGGTTGTTTTGGGTTTTTATTTTTTGGTTTTTTTTTGTTTTTTTTTAATGGAAACCAAGAATAATTTCTTCAAGGTCATATTAGGGATAACTATTTGCATTGGCTAGTTAAAACTCATCAATCCAGGAAAAGTGAGACAAACAGAAGCAATATCACAACTAAACATWGTGTCAAAAAGCACTGGTAGCTCTTAACACTTTTTCACCCAATTTCCCTCCTCCTTTGGGCATGGAGGTGCCAGCAGCACAGGTTAGTGGAGAGATTTACTCATTCCARCTGCATTCCTTGTAAAGCTGCTCCTTCCATGTTTCTAGACTGTTATCCCACAGTTTCTGGTAAAAGCAACACATTAATTCACAGAAATTTTCTTCAKAAGAGGAACAGAATTCCTCAGAGAGATGTCCTGCTATGCAAAAACATCCCTCACAACCATTAGGAATTAACCTGGACACCGAGCCCACAGTGGCATTTGTGCATTGTGGACACCACTGATGTGGTTTGGGTTTTGCCTCTGTTCCCTGTGCACAGGACACACCCAACTTCAATTCTTTGTGAAGAATTTTCCAAGTCCACTCCACCACCAAATTAAATTTTGCATGAGAAGTGCCCTCAGTGAGCAGATAATGGGTTTTTTGAATGCCATTTTAATCTCTGTGGTTTGGTGGCAGCTGCTGTGAATGGCTCCCCAGTTATCACACGAGTTGCATGCACTGTAAACCACACAGATAAGGCTGTGGCTGAACTGGGGACTTTTAAAATATATATATATATATATATATATATATAACTATATAACTTCTTGTACTCAAGAACTTACTCAATTCATTTCATGCCTATTTCTGGATTCATATATAAACCCCTCTATGTGCAGATGTCTAGTCCACTCACATCTTTAAAGTAATTAATCTTTTTTTCTTTCATTCACACAGTTTCTGAAGTCTCTGAAAAGAAATGTTTCCCCTTGAAAACACACATATTTATTCTGAGCAATCTTCTATACCCTTTTGAGGGCCTTTCTTATATTAATAACAGTTTCCTTGGAGCATTTCTGCCAAATGTGATCATCCTTCCTTTATTACTTTCTAAAAACTAGGATTTCCTCTTAAGGACTTCATAAAGAATAGTTAAGACAGCATATAGGTTAAATTCTGCTCCACTTAATGACATTATGTAGAGTGTGGGCACAGCAAAAGTGTGTCTGGAAGTGAACTTTTCCTATTTCTTTTAAACACAGAGATATTATTAAACCTTTAGAGAAAATAATAATTTCCTGAGAGGGTGGCTAAATCTTCAAAGGGTACTGGAAATATATGTCTTATGGCCAAACCACAGTTTATGGAAATCAGAGAAAAATAGAATGGCTGTCTCCTTCCACTTTGATTTTCCAACATATATCTTGTACTCTATGAATTGCTACATTTATTTCCATTTCAAACCAAGACTTGCACAAGACCTCAGATCTTCAGCAGCAGAGAGGGAAAAGCAGTGACATATTCTTGTATTTCTATTACTGCAGTAATCAAGGATTCTGCCCACRTATTGTCTGTTAAAATCAGTATTATTTTAATAGATTTCATTTTTTCCTCCTGTAGCAAGCTTTTCCCTCTTAAATGCTTCTGTATCAGCATTCCTTATTTTCAGTGTGAGAACTGATCTAAGCAAACTACTCAGTGRAATTCTTGAGCTGTTGGAGTGTTTTTGAGAAACTTCTGAGTTAACTGGGGAATGATTTTGGATGAAATATAATYAAAATTAAAAATGYTCATTGAAATCTCCATATGCTTCTTGTCAATAATGAAAGAGATGGACAACATCTCTCACTATTTTAAGGGAAAGAATTCAGCTTCTACTGCCTTACATATTCATTTTTTTCTTATTCTGGACATTACTGCAATGAGGACTTCTTTATATGTGTACATATAAATCAGTATTGATTTCAAGTTTAGATTGTCCCCACATTAATGTATATTTGTAATATATATTTTAAAAATGCTTCAAAACAAGCTTTATTTTTTAAAACCAAAAATGCTGTTTTCTTGGGTTTTTTTTTTTTTTCCTTTTGCAAAAATTGAGCTTGAAGGAAGAATTATTTTGAATTACTTCATTTTCTTCTATAGCCCATATATCTCCCTTCTGAATGCAATGGTCAAGACTTAGTTTAATTTATTATCTAGTTAGAAAGAAAAAAGATATAAAATTATGTATTTATGAAGAAAAAAAAAAAAAAMAAAACACCCAAATTTTACTGTAAACAGCAGCAGAAAGGAGCTTGGGGTGGACTTTTTGCCTCCACCGAGTAGAAACCAAGTTTTGAACAAGACAAGGAACCCCAAGCCTTTCCTTTTTCTATAATAGCCAGTGATGGTGAGAGAAGGTAAATAGTGTTAAAACATATAAATGACAGGCTGTGAAATCCTGCAGCAGCACTGCCTTTGCTGTGCCTCTCTTCTGAGAGAAATGTTCCTAATTAGCAGCCCAGACAGCCTTCTACTGACACTGGGGCTTGGAAAAGTGAAGCTGGAATGGATTTTTTTTTTTTTTTTTCTCTGTCCCTTCTACTATCAGCAATTTGACATAATTCTGTCTGCAATGCCACTTAAAAAATATGATTTTTATTAAAGATGTCACCATTCA